CCTGGTTAAAAATGACTCCAAGGTTCCTCACAGTGTTACTGGGGGCCAAGGTAATGGCATCCAGAGTAAGAATCTGCTTAGATACCATATTTCTAAGATTTTAAGGCTGAGTACAATTACTTGTGTGTTATCTGGCTTCATGGATAGATAGAGCTGCGTGTCATCTGCATAGCAGTGAAAATGTATAATATGTTTTCTGATGCTGCTGCCTAGGTATAATGTATGGCACTAGAGATGGATCCAGCTGATTTCTGTGCACACTTATTCATGCGGCGGCATGAATAATGTAAACAGAATTGGTCCTAGCACTGAACCCTGTGGAACTCCATAATTAACTTCAGTGTGTGAAGAGGACTCTCCATTTACATGTACAAATTGGAGACTATTAGATAGATATGATACAAACCACTGCAGCGCAGTACCTGTAATACCTACACATGTTATAATCGCTCTAATAGGATATTATGGTCGACAGTATCGAACGCTGCACTGAGGTCTAGCAGGACAAGCACAGAGATGAGTCCACTGTCAGAGGCCATAAGAAGATCATTTGTAACCTTACTGCACATTACTGTTATGCAGCCCTACTAATAAATGCTATAAAGCGCATCCATCCATTTTAATTGGTTATTAAACTTAACACACAAGATTTAGACATTAGCTGCTTTAAAACTTTTCTACTACTTATACTTTTTTCCATAGACAAAGCTAACATAAATTGCTTCTTGTAACAGTACTTTTAGTAAAGACAGACTACACATCATTTATAGTCATCCATGCAACTAGATCCATTTAGTGTGTACTAAATACTGTAGGTAGTGCTTAATGGGTGCAAAGCCATAGTATAAATAGTAATTCAGGGGTCTCAAACTCGCGGCATGGGGGCCACTTGCGGCCCACATCACCCCTATTTGTGGCCCGTATATTGACGTGAAGAAATATAAGGCAATTTGGTCTTGAAGTTACTTTTGTTAGGGAGGATTTGTTTGTTGTTGAGTGCAATGGTAAAATAAGTTCTTTAAAAAGCAAAAAATTATTTAATATGAAGGCAATATGAGCAGTGAGCACAAACATGTTGAGGGATTGGCTGTGTTAGGTCAGTGAGAGAGCTATTTGTAAAGAAAATTTTCACTAGCAGTCAACAACTAATGTTTACACGTATGTCCGTATTTTGATTTTGTTAAATACTAAGAAGTGCTGCCATGCGCGTGGCCAGAAAGAGAGCACCAATTTGTTTATTCGGTAGGTCAATGAAAGGCTTCAGTTAGTTAAAAGTGAGGAAAAAAAATGCGTTCACGTTTGCAGTTTTGTCTTGTTATACAATATTGGAAATTTTAAAAACAAAACGCTACATTTTCGGACATATTTGTGGGCATTTTCTTGTTTGTTTGTTTGTTTTTGTGCTACTTGAACACTAAAGTGGCCCTTGAGTTGCAGAATACAGAAGATGGTAGACTTCCATCAGCCTCTAAGCCAACAGATAATAAATCAGTCCATTTGTAGGATGAAACTGCCAACCAAACTATGTTCAAAACAGACATCGTTACTTACAACAAGTGATCCAGGTTGTAAACTGCCATTGTCAGTGGATGTAGTGAGGGCACCTGCAGATGTAGCAGCTCTGCCGTTAGTGAAGGTCAGGACAGGGCTCGTCACATTGATCCAAAATGTTGTAGAATTCTGCACAAAGGATGCACTGCAACGACACCAAAACCAGTGTCAACTGGGGTATAAACACCTGAGCTTTATGAAAGTGCTTTGGCAGACAATCAAGTTATTCCTGTTAAAAGGGAGTTTTTCCTTTCCACTGTTGCCAAAGATCTTGCTAATAGTAGTGATGATTGATGGGGTTTTCTCTGTATGATTGTAGGGTCTTTACCTTAATATAAAGCACCTCAGACAACTGTTGTTATGATTTGGTGATTTGGTAAATAAAATTTAATTAATAGACCATTTACCAGAAATGAACAGCTTTGATGTGTCTTGATGGTTCTGATCTCCATGTCACCTGAACGTAGCTGCTATTAAAGCCTGATGTGTGCGACACAGCCGAGTTCTGGACACACATTTGCATAAAGGGAGAGAGAGAGTGCAAGTGACATGCCAAACACAATATACCTTGCTGCATAGTTTTCATTAACTTGTCACAAAAACTAATGACACTGTATATAGGACACGTAAGTCATATGCTCTCTCCTGCACAATGCTGCACATTTTTCTTTGTTAGAGTTTCTTGGTAAGAACCAGCAAAACAAATGACAGTGTATTCAGTGACAGCATCCCCCGAGGAATGAAATAAAACTATTATAAGTAGAACAGGTCGAATTATTGATAGTTCAATGTTAAGCTCCATAACACTATCACGCCTACTAAGGACCCCTGACTGGGAAAAGAAGGGCTGGAACCTTAGAGCACCCTCTGGGTGACAATAGGGTCTATAGCATAGATCCCAACATTTTTTCTCCTTCCCCCTTTTGTATACTCAGCCACGTTTGTTAGGTGTTTTGTTGTTATACATTGCTGCTCTGAGCAGAAAAGGGAAGAGTACCAGAGATTGTGTGGTTGTAATACAGTCAGATGTCTAGTAGGCCTATAAATTTTGTCTCTTTGAATATAAACGGCATAAATAATCCAATTAAAAGATCAAACATGCTATCACAATTGAAAAAGACTAAGGTTCAGATAGCATATATATGCAGGAATCTCATCTCACTGATAGTGAATATACAAAATTAAACAGGATGGGACACTCCAACGTATATTTTTCCTCGCATAGTTCTGGGAGACGTAGAGGGGTAGCAATTTTGCTTTCCAATAAAGTTAACTTTGATTTCATTTCCGAGGACAAAGATAAGGAGGGAAGATACACTATGGTTAAGGGTAAAATAGATGGAGTCTTAGTTAGACTGCTAAATGTTTATATGCCTCCAGGTAGCAACTGGGCATTTTACAAACAGATACTTGAGCTATTCACAACCCAAAGTCCAATATGTGGGGGTGATTTAACATAAGACTGCATCCTAAAATGTTTAGTTCTAATGGGAGGACAAATACTAAAAGCATTAATAAAAAGGTTAAGAATTACATGAAAGAGCTTGGAATAGTGGATATATGGAGATTCAAGATGTTATTGTCATGTGTCACACGAGAAAAGGCATTTCTCCGTGCAATGAAATTCTTTTTTTGTTGTCCACTCAGAGATGCCGACTAATATATACAATAGAAATAGAACATATAAATACAAATAGCACAAATAAATAAATGAAGATGGAAACAAAGACAGAAGAAGGAGACAAAATATGGAGATTTCAAACAGAGATGTGTGCAGGGAACATAACCTTACTGTACGGGATTATACCAACTATTCCTCAGCACACAATCTTTACTCCCGAATTGATTTTTTCCTGACGTTTAAAAGCAAGAGGTACAGATTATTTGAATGTGTCATCGATACCTGTACCATTTCAGCTCATGAGCCTGTGTATTTGACACTTAATATAAGCAATGAAACAAAATCTACCGTCTGGAGGATAAATACAAACATTCTGAATAAAACTGAAGTTAAAGACATTTTGAAATTAGAAATTCAATCTTATTTAGAATATAATGATAACGGTGAGGTTTTACCAGTAACACTATGGGCTGCTTTAAAAGCACGATCTGATATCTTCGTGTTGGTGTTGTTCCCACATCATCATGACCAATCACATTGTTGTGACGTCATACTTTTGCAACTTTGGAAAAAAACGCCGTAAAAAAGAAAAGTACTTAACTTGCGAGAAACCGCCTCTGTCTGCCGATCCAGCAAAATTCTGAATTCTTTGCATTTCAGGATACTGTTCTTTAATAAACGGTAAGCATTATACATATTGTCCTTGCAACATTGGAGTTTCATAAATGAATGACTCGCTTGGCTTGCAAAAGTATTACGTCACAACAAGGTGATTGGTCACTTGCAATGTTGAACCTTGAACAACATTTATTACGATGATGTGGGAACAACACCAACACGAAGATATCAGATGCAATAAATATAGAAGAGGTTCAAAAGAACCTTCTGTTTACAAAACAACGGTACTATGACACAGGAGGAAAAGCATTAAATCTTCTGTCATAAGGTTAAGAAAACAACAGGCAGAAAGAACCGTCTAGAACAAGGATGTGGAGCTTCTGCACTTCTGTTTTCTCTATTTGTCAATATATAAGACAAAGCGTAGAAATAACAGGGGTCCCCCATGGGTTGGGGGAGCAAAAATTTGCCCCATTTGCTGATGATATATGGATTTTCTTGACTAATCCAACTGAATCACTTTCAAAATGTGATGAGATTGTTAGATGACTATGGTTTTCTTTCAAGACATAAAATTAACATAACATAATAAAACTCAAGTATTAAAGCTTAACTACCAACTAAAATTAAAAACACATATAAATGGAACTGGGACTCAGACCACATCAAATATTTGATGTTGTCTGACTGAAGATCCAACTAAACTGTTTGAAGCCAATTATGAGTCTTTGCTCTCAATGATTAAGAAAGACTTGCAAAGATGGAAAACTGTTCCCTTGTTGACGCTGCAGTCTCAGGTGGAATCAATTAGGATGAATGTCCTCCCTCGCTTAGTGTATCTATTTCAAAGCTTAGCGATTTGGATACCACAGAAACATTTTGAGGTATGACAGAATATTGGACAAGTAAATAAAAGAGCAAGAATTAAATATAAAACAATGCAACTATTGGAAGAAAAAGGGGGCATCAGTTTACAATGCCTTCGTGACTATTATTATGCAGCCCAATTAAGACCCCTGATGTGTTTATGTTCACCAACCTATTCCTCAGGCTGCAAAGATGTTGAAGGGACGGTCATAAATGGGGTGCCAATTATGGCACTTTTGGCAGATAAGAAAGAAAACTGGCATCTTGGGTGATTTTATGGTCAATTCTCTCCTGAATAGTTGGGATGGTGTTATTCAGACTAGTGGGCTGGAGAAAGCAGTTACGATATTGCGATGATTGCTTATGACTCTGACTTTTTGCCCAATATTCACAATAATAGGTTTACTACTTATTATTCTCTTACCCATGAGGGGGCAATCTTGAGTTTTGATATATTAAAACTAAAATATGGATTGGGTCAAGACTATTTTTACAGGTATTTACAAGTCGGTCATTATTTTGATCAAAAAATTAAAATTCTAATAGAAAACAGTGAATTGGGCTTTGTGGAAACTTTTTCCACGTTAACAAAAGAGACAAACTCTGAATACATTAAGAGAAGGTGGGAGACGGAGGGCAATGTACTCATCCCGAGTGAAAATTGGGCAAAAATGTGTCAACTGCAGCGGACCACAACAGTCTCCATTACATGGCGAGAGTTTGGATGGAGAAACTTAGTGAGATATTTTATTACACCAATTCAAAAAAGGCACAGAGGAGGTGGCGACTCATGTTGGAAGCTTTGTGGGACCTCTGGAGCTAATCATTATCATATCTTCTGGGAATGTAATGTACTTTGGTCCTGTATTTATTATCATATAAATGATGTTTTTGGAGCTAAAATCCCCTTGGGAGATGTAAACACGCAAAATTGGAAGAAGTCTGATATGAGACTGTTGTCAATTCTATTGATTGCTAGCAAAAAAGCCATTAGAAGAAAATGGTTAAAGGTTGAACCACCGTCACAGGAGGACTGGATCAATATAGTCAACCAAAACTACATCATGGAAAAACTATCATTCACTTTGAGGATTCACAGTGACAAGTTCTACGAGCAACGGTCAAAATGGACCGAATATGTTAAACCCATAAGATCTGACTTTTTGTAAGGTTCTGGAAGTACGAGTGATACATGGATTTCTGGGGGGCCTGTAGGCCCGGTGGCGCTGAAGCAGCTGACTTTTCTATTGACCCAAATTAATTTAACTATATACGTAAAAGTACATATATTAAATAATAATAGAAAAATTGATAATAATAATAACAAGAATAATTAAAAGAATATTATAATAAATAATTAGACCAGCAAAGTGGCAAATAAGGATCTTTGGAAGAGTCGGGCAGCCCAGCGTTGCTGAAAGTGAAGTTGTCTAAATCTGGGGTACATTTGGGTACTCCCGGTCCTTTTTGGACCAATGATGTACTCATATATGTCATATATATCCTATTCTTTTTTCCTTCCTTTCTGGAACGTATGTATGTGGCAGGGGGGTCTGTCTGTCTGTCTGTTTGTTTGTTTATGCTGCACTGTTGTTATTGAAAACTTAAAAATAAGTATATTTAAAAAAGAGAATGACAGCAAAAACTTTGGCATCAAACTGATAGCAGACTTAAGCTCCAGTACATAAACATGCTGCTCACATTAACTTCCAGAATACTCACAGCTCTCTGGCTGCAGGTGAGGAGTTGAGCAGCCCCTTCTGGTATGGCAAAGGAACCCACAGGACTCTTGCTTCCCAGTTCTCTAGCCTCCAATAGGAAACCAGTAAATGGTGTAGAGGCTGGACCCTGTAGCTCAACTTGGAATCAGAAAAACAAAAATGAAGCTGAATGAAACTGGTGTTATTCTTTGACAATAAGATTTTTGAAAAATAACCTTAGTCACTTTTAGGGCTGCAACGATCAACTTACTCAAATACCTTTATTATTTC